GACCAATCGCGGCACACGTTCGGCCCGTGTTCTTATTTTAAGTGTTTGCGGGTTTTGTATAACGACGTTTTGTCGCAAGACTTCTTTAAGGTAAAAGTTAGAAATGATCCCGTTTTCCGATACATGTAGTTTTTTTTTGTTGAATTCGCCAATTCGATAAATGCTTACTATAAAACTGTAATCATCACAATTGTTGACACTTCAAAGTGCTCTAATTCTTTTCGTAAATATTTGAAATAACAATGTTTTTATCAGGTGCTACGCTACTGGAAATTTCCGGCTACGAAACCGTAGCTAATATGATTTAACGTGCGTAGACACTTCATTTCTAGTATCAAATATGACATTTCTATCTTGAAGGAGACTTTATCAAACATCTAAATGGCAATAGAGGTGCTGTTATCTTGAATCTTTCTATCTCATTGAAAATTTTATTACCACCATAAAATATAAACAGAGCTTTAGGTTCAGTTACGTATTTCGCAAATATTCAACACAAATCTAAAGGTTTCTTCTAAAATTTAATGCAGGATTTATTGAGCCTAGAGATTGAATACATACTAGCTGTCGAACGCAACTCCTTCCGCGCGGTATTAAAAAAATGTAATTAGTAGCCTATGTTCTTCCAGAGTATGTTCTATCTGTATGACAAATTTCATTACGATATGTTCAGCCGTTCTGGAGATACTTTCACACAAACATCCATCCATCTAAACATTAGCACGATGGTGTGGAGGTAGCTTAGAGCCAGGAAACAGACATAGGACTATTCATTCATTTTTTTCGAATTTATGCCTTGAAGAGCTGCTTTTTATTTAACTTATTAATATTATAAATGCGAATGTTTAGATGGATGCAATGTGGATGGATGGATGGGTGTTTTAAGATATAATATCTCTAGAACGACTGAACAGTTCTGGATTAAATTTGGCATACGTATAGAACATAGTCTGAAAGAACACATAGGCTTCACTAATTAAGTTTTTTATATATCCACGCGGACGGTGTCGTCCAGGTAGTTTATAATATTAGTAAAATTACTTCAAAAAGGAGCAGATTCTCAATTGGTCTGTATGTTTTTTATCTTTAAACAAATATTAGTATTAAAGTATAAAAATTAATAAATATTTTAACGCGTAATTAAAAGTTTAATACGCCATAAAATCGGTAGTTGTAAATCAATTTGCGCGTTTGCTTGTAGCAGCTGGAGGAGTGTTGACAGTTTAGTTGATTCCGGACGCGGCGGACATCGGCCGTCGGACGGGATAAATAAATAAATCAGGTCTTTATTGACTGTAATGGTGATATGAAAAACTAAGGTGCTTTGTCGCAAACAGGACAGGGGTACCGAACTAATGGCACGCGACATAGTTTGGGCACGTCACAAAATATACTACGAAAGGTAGCTATTCGAAGGGGGAACGCTTCCAGTATCTTAGTGACCTTGTCTAAAGGGATTCCTTTTAATAATTTAGTTAATTATTCGTTTTTAATATTTTCTTTCAAATAGCTGGACCGTTATGGATCCGCTTAGCAAGAGATAGGAATAGTTGGAAATCTTTAGAGGAGGCCTTTGTCAATTGACAAGCTTTTCAATACAAACAAGTTGCCGATCATTTAAATACTAGTAGAATTGTTTAAATTAATTTAGTTTTTTTTTAGTTAATAGGCATGTATAACTATCATAAATTGTAAAGCAATAAAGGCTATTTTATTTTATTTTTTTATTTTTATTTTAATATTTTCTTTAATATCTACGAAAATGTGTAAAGTAGGTTTTAAATGAGGAATAAAGGCGAGTCAACCTTGCGTTAAGATATGTTTCCAACAACGTCAAAATTATTTGATGGCACGTCTATCTTACTAATATAAATGCGAATGTTTGGATGGATGGATGTTTGTTTGAATGTATCTCCAGAACGGCTGCATGAATCTCTATAAAATTTTGTATAGATGTAAAACATAGACTGGAAGAATACATAGGCTAATAATTAAGTTTTTTTTAATACCGCACGAACGGTGTTGGTCGCGACAGCTAGTATGTACATAAGTAAACAGTTCTTTAAAAAGAAGACGTTGATATGTGAAGGTTTACCGTTAAAACATCTTAATTTCCTTCAATATTTGGTGCAATATAACTTTTTTAATACCTACGAGGCGCATCTTATATGAGTGAGATAAAACTTACCTACAATTGTAATATTAATACGAAGAAAGATTTAATTAATAAGTATTATCGAAAAGTTTCCTGGGTTCGAATCCCCCCATGTACCAATGTGTTTTACATATGTACATTTATCTGACGTTCTTACGGTGAAAGAAAACATCGTGCTGCACATATCTGAGAAGCAATTCAAAGATGTGAAGTCAACCATCCCGCACTTGACCAGCGTGGTTGACTATGACCTAATCACCCTTAACTTAGGGTAGGCTCCGAGCCCCTCGGTGGGGACGTATAGTGAGATGATGATAATGAGTTTCGAAATGCAGTTTTCGATTAAATATATCTTCTTGTAGAAACAATTTAAAGAAGGAATAAGAATAATTAAGTTTTTTTTTAATATATTTCAGCCATTATTTTATGCATCATTAAAAGCTGCGTATAATTGCAATTAAATCGCTTTTTTTTTTAAATAATATCGCGCATTGTGAAACTTTTCGCCGTCGGTTTTTAAAAAAAAACGTCCGTCGGAACATTTCAATTCAACCATAATTGAGTTTTAAACGTTTAAAGTTCCGGATATGCATTATACTAAAAACGTTTACCTTTCGTCACGTAGTTAATTGAGAGTTCTAAAAGATTGTCAATAAAACAAACATGTTTCCGATATGTATAAACAAACTTTAACTCTAAAGAAATAAAGACTAAATTTGTTTAAACAACTACGACCTTGTTATAGATTTGATTGTCACGTATTCTATTAAAAACACAATATTTAAATAATAAGTTAATATTCGCAAATAATCAACTATAAAACTAATAGTGAAGTGCATTTTAATAGTTATCGGACTTATTTTTTCTTTTTTATGTCAATCTATCTGTCGCCCGCGACTCTGTTCAAATTGAAAAAACTTCCAGACTATGTTCTACATCTACTTCTATGCCAAATTGAATCGAGATTCGTTTAGCTGTTCTGCAGATACCTTCTCACTAACATTTATAATATACTAGCTGTCGCCCGCGACTCCGTCCGCGCGGGGGATTAAAAATAGATGTTGGCCGATTCTCATACCTACTCAATATGCTCACAAAATTTCATGAGAATCGGTCAAGCCGTTTCGGAGGAATATGGGAACGAAAATTGTGACACGAAAATTTTATATATAAGAAGTAACAATTAAATTATTATTTATAGTCTGTATAGATTAATACCAAACTCTAATCGTAGGTTTCTTAGACCAAAATCTTCATTTAAAACATATCGTTATTTCTGGTTTGTCAAAGATGACAAAGATGATATATTTTAAACGGAAAGAAAAATGGACATTTCAATACCTGAATTAATTTCTGTACCTAAATTTTTGTAGTTTTAGATTTTTTTTTATTTGAAATTTCAACTTTTTATCGAATACATTTTTTTCCAAACATTATAATCTGTACATCATCATCAGCTCACTATACGTCCCCACCGAGGGGCTCGGAGCCAACCCTAAGTGAAGGGTGATTAGGCCATAGTCAACCACGCTGGCCAAGTGCGGGTTAGTTGACTTCACACATATCTTTGAATTTCTTCTCAGATATGTGCAGCATCACGATGTTTTCCTTCACCGTAAGAACGTCGGATAAATGTACATATGTAAATCGGAAATCGAAAAACAAATTGGTACATTGCGGGATTAGAACCTAAGACCTGCAGATTGCAAGTCAAGTTGACCAATGAGCCACCGACGCGAATCTGTACGTGTATAAAATTAATTTTGTCAAGAAAAAAGAGAAACAAATGATTTTGGTAGTAATTCATTTTATGCTCAGTCGCATTTGTTAATATTAAATCAATCAATACTAAATAAATGTTATTAAGTAATGCTATAATTTTCCTTGTAGGTAATGTACTGTTGAAATCTATCACGCATTAGTGCTTACAAAAGATATCGAAATACCAACAAACGCATTTCAAGACTTCTGTACGAAAAAGAACTTTAATACGGAACGATTTATCAGGAAATATAATTTTGAAAATGGTTTTTATGTATATAAAAGAAAGTCTTGTTAGTTACACTATTTATAACTCAAGAACGGCTTTACCGATATGCGTGAAAATTAGTGAGGAGGTAGCTTAGAGCCAGGAGACGGACATAGAATAATATTTATTCATTTTTTTTTGAATTTATGCCTTAAAGAGCTGCTTTTTATTTAACTTACTAATATTATAAATGCGAATGTTTAGATGGATGTGATATGATTGAACGGACCTCGAATTAATTTGGCATACGTATAGAACATTGTCTGAAAGAACACATAGGCTACATTAATTATTATTTTTTTAGATTCACGCGGACGGAGTCGCGGGCGACTGCTAGTACCTAAATAAAATAAGGGTAGAAGAAAATTGATAAAACTTTCTCTTTTCAGAAATGAGTACCGGTGGAAAATGACACGGAACTCAACGAAAGAGAAAGAGGATATCCATTACTGAAGATGCGAAAAATACGTGTGGAAAAAGCGCAAAAGTGTGGCAAGATGACTTCATGAATTTGTAAGTACCTGTTTGTTAAGTTCCTTTTGGTAAGTACATTATTTTTACCTAGCTGATTTTATTAACGGAGTTCAAAACAAAAGGAAATTCACTATATGTAAATTTAATTTATTTTTGAATGTTTTTACTGTCGTTTGGTGCCACAATCCTTTAAGTATATTTAATTTGAGAAGTCTTAATTTACTTTATATCTAGATTTAAGAGGTAAATGTACAAAATTAGAAAATTGCCTTCATAACCACGTTTACGAGGTAAAAATAAAAAATGAGTTAAAATAGAATACAATTGTTTGTCATAACTTACCAGAGTCGCTATCGTCTCTGTCATAATGCGGTCTCCAGTAGTGATCCTCATATCTTAGAGGTACGTCTGACCGCCCCGTGAACTTATTGGGATCCAGAATGTTCTCCACGGAGAAAGCTATCGCCGGCCGGTCTGGGGGCCGCGTCAGCCCCAGCCGCCTCGTCAGGTCCACCGGTGCGGCCTCTTCCACCCCGACCACATCTACTTCTCCGTTGGCTTCGGCTTCTGCCTCTGCCTCTGTCGCCGCCTCATCCTCACGTCTGTCCTCAGAGCCTCGCGCCATCGCAAGCATCGTCATAGCAACGTCTATGTTAATGTTAACGCTAACATTGGAAAACGTTCCTTCGTCCGGTTGAATCTTTGCTGCACTTAACACTTCACCTTCAAGTCTTCGAGTCTTTTATGATAACATATTAGGTTAAATGAGATAAATCTGTGGGATGTAACGGGTGAGTACGCACGGCACTGTGATCCGATCACGCAGGCGCAGCCGCGTCCATCTACATCAAACATCCGATCGTCACAACTGGACGACGACTGAAAAGGGATACGGGAAAACGGGCGGGACCCGTGTGCGGGGTGGGCTGAGTCTTATGGAGGGGCAGGACGCGGGCCGTAGATTGGCTCCGCGCGATAGGGCGTTCCCCGACCGGGAGGCGAGTAATCGAGCAATAAGGTTTAAACAATTTCGTTTAATACGTTGAATTATGTAAGAGAGCGGCGGGCGAGTAATCGCGCACGAGCGATAAGGCCATTTGCGCTACTTCGTTACGTATTAATGGGGCAGGAAATTGACTTATGAATATTAGAGGTCGCCGCGAACGGAAGCGACCAAAGCGGCCCCGAGCGGCCCGCGCGCGTTCCTAGTTAAGCGCTGGAACAATGATGTTTATTGAGTTTAGAACTTAATAGGTCGGCGGCGGCGCGCGGGCGGGACGGCCGCCATTAGCCTGTTTGGTGTTGCCACTTTACGATAAAATATTTATTTTTCAGCTGAACGATCTGTTTGTAAGCGCTGTGTCATTTTGCAAAACTATTGAATGAGCCTGGCCGGCAATTAACACCAATTTATTCGACCTATGAAGGTTTATTGGCTACGATAATTATAATTAAAAAAATGTAGATTTACTTATCACACTAGCAAAGAATAATCTTCGTAATTTTGTCAAGAATCTTTAATCTTTCTTATTTAAAAGGGAATCCTTTAAAAATTTTAATGTTTACACAACAATGAACTCATTCCTCACAAAAGTTTAAGTTAAACGATTTTTTGTTCGAGCATTACACGACTGTATAAACTTAAGACTTAGGATAGCAAAAATTTTATTTAAAATTGGGTAAGAAAACTTCAAAATTCAATGACAAAAATAGAAAAAACTTTAGTGTAGCTTTATTTACTACTGTATACTTTATAATACTGTTGTAAATTGTATCGCCGAAACATTTGTACAAAAATATTGGCATTGTTACCTTTATATTAATTTCCGGAAAAAACCTTCATAATTTTTCATACAAAAAATTGCACAAGTTCAAAGTTTATGCGTGTACACCTCTATTCTTTTACAACGCAATATTTTTCAGAGACATCGCACTACTAGAAAAATATCAGAAGTCCAAAGTTTATGCACACACACTTCAAGCCTTTCACAGACTGTCTGGTTTGATGTGACATCTATCGGTGTCATTTTAAAACGATTAATCGTTATAAAGAGTTTCGATTACAAGCCATCGATACTATTGGTTACGACATCTCCGACATGCCTTTCACTAATTGTCTTTATACAGGATGTTACATTAACCTATTTACTATTACTATTAAAAAAAACAAAACGATTTATTCAGATCATGTCTCGAGAGATATACATAAGTAATGAAATAAATATGCGAATAAGGCCTTTCACAACCCCTAAAAGCACTTGTTTTTCTCCTCTTTCATAAATTTTACATATAAAAATAGCTTTATATTTATAGCATTAAACACAATTGTAACACACTTCACTTCAACATTTATATTCTAACGTTATTTGTAACACCCTGTATACTATAGAGGTGCTACAAAAAAGGCTACAGATTCCTCCGCGTACAACGTTTATCCCCACGTGATTAGATCCGCGGCTGACGATCATTGTCACCTACAGTCTCTCAATCTACCAACGCTGTGACGTCACCATACTAAACACTTTATTTGAAAAAAAAAATACCCGAATCACACCTCTATAATACTTTGAAGTAGGAAATACGAATGACGTCTCAAAAGAAAAGATAAAAAATCTCTCGTGAAATCGTTCAATCAATAAGTAATTGGCGCAAGATAAAACAACCATACAAACATACAAATGAGCAAAAACAATTAGCTTCCCATACATTCGTAATTAGTATACAATTTATAAAGAACTAGCTGTCGCACGCGACTCCATCCGCGCGGAATTAAAAAAAATAGTAGCCTATGTGTTCTTCTAGACTATGTTCTATATGTATGCCAAATTTCATCAAAAATAGTTTTACCCGTTCTAAAGATACTTTCAAACAGACATCCATCTAAACATTCGCATTTATAATATTAGTAAGATTTCCGTACCCAGAGTCATTTAGTGATTATTAATCTCTTAACTCTGAGTGCGTTAGTTTACAAAGAAGTAAAAAACGTGTACGTTTGATTTATAACAAATACTGCAAACCGGCCAAGAATTTTAATAACCAATTTGTGTTTAAAATTTCAAAAGACTTGTTTTTTATCAAAAAGCGACAAATATACGTCTTTGTCAGTTAATTGAATATATAAATCTGAATTAATTTGACCGTAGTGAAACAAGATGGGGCACGTTATTACTCTCTTAGTGAACGCTTTGAGAATTTGTAAAATATGTTCTCGCACGATATACAAATTAAATAATATAATTTAAGAACGCTTAGAGATCCTTAAGCTTGATAAAAAAAAACGTTCAAAAAATGTGTAATTTCTCTAGTTCCATTACACTCTTTTTTGTTTTACTTTTTATATTTGCAATACATACATATGTATGTTTATATTCCACTCTCGTGTTTGCATAAAAAATATAATTTAATTACCGTGGGTTTCTGACCAAAATCTTTGAAAACATATCGTCATCTCTGTCATTATCATCAACAAAACAGAAGTAACTATGTGTTTTAAACGGGGATTTTGGTCTCACAAACCCACGGTTAGTCATTTAAACTAACAATAGATATATATCAAGAAATTCCTTTTTTAAATTAATAAATAAAACATTTGTCTACGGAACCCAAGAAAAATATTTCAAATTCATCTCCATTTCATTTCTAATTGGAATTTATTTGTCAAAATAAATAGAGTAGAAACTTTGAAGCGATATTATATATTTAAATAGCATCATAATTAATGGAACCTTTGAATACGTTTTAGCGTAAATTTCATAATGTTCCCGCGTATGATAATTTGGCTTTATTGTGATGGACGCAAAAATTTATTTAATATTCTCTTCACTTCAAACGGTTTAATTCTGTGGCTGAATCAATAAAACATAATAGCAGCGTTAGATTATTTAAAAAAAAAACAATTCGATATTTAAAAACTGTGGAAATATGACAGCCCTAAAACATATATGTCATTTTTCATTATTCACAACCCTAACTTATAAATTTTATTAAAACCTTGTCCTACAATTATTAAAAACAAAGAGTATTTAAAGTAAATAGTTAATTAACTTCATTTAACGTTTAAAGTACTAATTAACTCATATTTATAATTGTTCTAATTACGGCTGAATATAATTCAAATTCAGTTATCTAACCGGCCGCTAGATGGCGCGAGTAATTTGTCACGCTCGCACAAGCATCGCTCGACAGGACGGAATGATTTATTGCCGTCCATACAAAGACCTCTTTAAATAGAGCCCCCCTTCGTAAAGCTAACAGTCAATTTAGATGTAATTACGAAGGGAAACTAACCTCCAAAATGCGCGCGCAAAAAGTTTACTTTTCCGGATTTACAGCGCTTTTGCCGCGCTGTCAAATTCTAGTGATTAATTTAATAACTAGATTAATAAATACCATAATTCTCAACCATTACATATATTTATCATCTTATTACTAATATTATAAATGCGAATGTTTAGATGGATGGATGTATGTTTGAAGGTATCTTCAGAACAGTTGAACATCTTGATGAAATTTAGCATAAATGCAGATCATAGTCTGGAAGAATGTAAGCTACTATTTTTTTTATTCCGCACGGACGAAGTCGCGGGCGATAGCTTCTAATTAATAAAAAGAAACAATTAACATATAATCGTTATAAATATAACAAGATTAAAAATATATTTATAGACATTTATTCGGTTTTTTTTTAAATTTTATTTTATAGACATTAATTGGATAATCGTTTGCCTTAATGTAGTTTTAATATATGAAATCTACACTTAGGAACTGCTGAAGTAACTGGCAGCTAGTCTTCTAGTATCGCGTTGTTAATTACTCGATAAAAAAACGGCACATCACTAGCGAAGCGTTCGGATACATTCCTTAGCTAATTGTAAGCACGGGACTCTGTCGAGGACGCATTTGTCAATTGTCGGCCTCCCTTGCCGCATAATTACTTATTTAGCTATTTCTGGAACGCTTTGACGGCTTGTTAGAATATCCAATCGTACACAAATTGGATGTCGCGGCTAAATGATTGCTTGCTTGTCCCCCCCATCTCCTTTCTTTCTCTTCCTTTTTTTCGACGCGGACCTTAAATCTATTTGTTAGTGAAAACGACTTAGTTTTACGGTTATCGTATACGTTGACAAGTTTCCTTGACAACTTTCGATTATTATACATTTTTTTCTGAAATATTTAAACTGACTAGAACTTGCTAACCGTGAGTTTCTGAGACAAAAATCTCCGATTAAAACATATTGTTAGCTCTTTTTTGTCAAAGGTGAAAGATAGAGATGACGATATATTTTGTTCAGAGATTTTGGTGTCAGAAAACCATGGTAGGTCTGTTTGAATATTATTTAAGTTTTATTAACGTCAAGTCCCTTTTATTTCTAATTCAGAATGCACACAATCTCTATGCATTTTTATACGTCCTTTTTGTCATTTAAAGACAAAAGTTCTGAAATTTTTGAAACTCTTAAATGTTTAGAAGTTGAGTTTGCTTCGCTAAAGGATTTTCACTTACAACAAAGAAATATAATTTTTATGTTACAAATATACAAAGAAATTTATAATTAGAAATTTAATACTGAAAATGCAATTTAAAATTGATTTCTTTCACAGTCAACAACTTCGTTATGAATCAAACCCTCGTCTCGTAACATCCCATCTAATTAAAATACAATAAAAGATTTTAAATGAACACACTACACCACATGTTTACACAAATGAAGTTAATTAGTATGCGTCAATTCATTTCCCAGACAGCGCCATCTGTGGGCAAATAGATCGCCTGTCGACAACCGTACAAATCGATTTGATACATCGAGTTTTTATCATTCGATTCCTTCACAGAAACACCGAATCG